CACGACGCACACGAAGGAGCCAAGGTGTGTGCAATCCTGTACAAACTGACAACCAAGCGTTTCCCCGGCGAAGAACACGAATGGAAAACTGACCATCACACCGTCGACGCCGGCGAAGGTGAGCAGAATCTCCGTGACCATGGTATTTCAAGGGGCACTCGCTGTTGCTTGGCTTCAAACTGAGCTCCAGGTGCAAGCAACCGAAGATCTCGATCAAGACGCCCAGGAGACTCTCGATGGCGTCGTTCAGCTGTTTCGGCGTGTCCGTCACTAGAACGATGGCCTCGTCGTCGACAAAGATGGCGTCTAATGTCAGCGCCGTGCTCTTCTTCGCAGGGTCGGGGTCTGCCCAGAAGGCACCGTCGGGAACGCGAAGACGAATGGATATGTACTGTTCTTCGCAGATGTGGTGCAAGAGGGAACGAACGGGCAACGGCGTAGTGGCTGTTGAAGGTCACGACTTCCAGCTTCTAGCATTGACGCCCTCGTGTCGCACTGATCACGGGGGACCCGTCGGCGCCGACGGCGAACCAGGATCCTGCGTGCAACGCCTGGTATATGTAATATTATATATATACATACAAATCTCCTCCGACCCTGTCGGCGGGTGGACGACGCATCGTCGTCGTCGTCGTCGTGGCCGCCGTCGCCGTGGCCACTCCCCGTCTTTTCTGTGAGTCCTTCTCCTGAACGTTCCACCCGAAGCAAAGTGGGACGTTGAGGTTACATCGAAGGAAGCCCCCCTTTGATCCCTTCCCCGCCCCAGGGGGGTGGTAGGGGGGGGATCCCAAGGGGGGGTCCCGGGCGGGGTCCCAGGGGAGGGGGGCCGGGGTCCCGGCTCAGAATACCACCCCTCCGCGGAGTCCCAGGATTCGTCGTCGTCGTCGTCCTCGCCCGCCGCCGTCGCCGTCGCCATGGCCACTCCCCATCTTTTCCCTGAGTTCTTTTCCTCCACTGTTCCAGCCGAAATGACAATGAGGGACGTTGAGATTAAATCGAAGGGTTGCCCCTGCCTTTTGATCCATTCCCCGCCCCGGGGGGGAGGGGTCCCCAGGGGGTCCCCAGGGGGGGTCCCAGGGGGTAGTCTCTGGGGGAGGTCCAGGAGGGGGGTCCTGGGTCAGAATACCACCCCTCTGGGGAATCCCGGGGCGTCGTCTTCGTCGTCGTCGTTCAGGGTCGGCGGCTCTTGCCGTAACGGTTTGCCGATATGTATACGTATATAAATACATGTATGTATATATATATATATATAAATATAAAAAAAAAACTGCAGTGGCGCTTCGCGCCATGCACCTTGGTCCTTGAAGATTGGTATGCAGGCGGAAATGGCAGGAAGGTCAAGCGGACAATTTTGCGATAACTCCTTGCTGCCTTTTCTGGCATCGCCGTTATAATAATGTTGTTCGTTATCCCTCCTCCATGCTTGTTTTTCATCATTCTCGCCATACCCTGGATAGTCTCCCCATCCTCCTCAACTCTTTTTGCGGAGGCTCCTCCTTGAAGAGCCTCTGGGGGCCTCACCAAAGTTCCCAGGCTTTCTTAAAGCCTTCTGGAGGCCTCCTGGGCGTGTTCTGGGGGCCTCTGGGGCTTCCTAAGGCCAACCTGCCTCTAACCGCAGTCTCCCTGAACGCCCCGGTCACGATTTGGAATGCTTCGGAGGATGTCTTGGGTCCATCTTGGGCCGCCATGGGACTCTCTTAGGTCCATTTTGCATCCCTGTTGTGCCGTTCTGGGGCTCTCGTGGACTGCCTGGAAGCCCTTTCGGGTGGTTGCGGGGCGATTTTGGAGCCTCCCAGGCGACTTCGGACGCCCAGAAGACCGCTGTCTTGAAGCGTCGGGAAGCCGAAAAGAGGAGAACCCGAAATTCACCAAAAACCTGCATTAAATCTATGAGTATTCCCTCTTGGGGCCTTCTTGGGGGTGTTCTTGAAGGCCTCTTGGTACGTTTTGGAGCGATCTTTCGGGGTATGACGGCTTCTTGGAGCGCTCTTGTGCTGTCTTGGGGTTCTCTGGGACGTCTCCGATGACCCTCCTGATCGCCCTAGGTGTGCTGCGAAGGCTTGGCAAAACGCCCTGCGAGGCCCGGGAGGCCGCTTCGAGGCCCGTCCGAAGGGTCCCAGAGCCCCAGATCCCGGGAGTCCGGTTTGGGGGGGGGGTTCCCCCGCCCGGGCTTGCAAAAATATAGGAACAGGAATATATACACCTCATCTCTGACTCTTGTAACTATACATATAGTTATGTGTATACAAGTGACTATATATACACCTGGGTGTGAGCGTATGTCTAAATACAAACACTCATCTAAACACATATAACTACATATATATATATATATATGTATACATCTACACATACATACAAGAACCATCGCGCGCGTTTCGTGCGCGCTCAGGTTCTGGCCCAGGCTGGGGGGCGCTGGAATATCTTGCAGAGCGCTATTAAGCACACGCGCGTGACATAGTCGTACCCATCCTCACCCTCCTCCCGATTCCAGACTACATCCTCATACTCCTCATCATCATAATCTTCGTTAGCATAAAATCCATCAATATCATACTAACTACCAGTCAGCATCACCAACAACAATAGGGTGAACATCCTTGTTTCAGTGCTGCCAGCCATGACACAACGTCAACATCGCGTAACATCATGACCGACATCAGCATCCTCATCCTCGTCCGTCTCATCATCACCATCACCATCATCAGCATCAGCAGCATCATCACCAGCATCAGCATCAGCATCACCATCAACATCAGCATCAGCATCAGCATCAGCATCAGCTTTAACATCAGCATCACCACCATCACCATCATCACCATCATCGTCATAAATAAACATCATCGGTCCCCGTGCCTGCCTGCGGCCAGAAACTGTTGCTTAGCGTGTCGCTGCGGCGACCCCTGCGACAAGCCATGCCCCGCAAGCGGATTGAATGTCACTCCGTTTCTCTGGGCAGGAGGGCTCGAACATGCTCGGGACGCGATAGAGGAAATTATCCGGACGATGCACCCCTGGATTTCGTAACGAATGTGTGGCTTCCTGACGGTCTCTGGGGAGTTTGGCAAGGGCAAGTAGGGGGCACCTTGGGGGTCTCTTCGAGCATATGGGAAGTCCTCGTGGCGGTATCTTGGGGCCTATTGGACCCTCTTGGGGACCTCTTCGGAGCGTCTCTGGGATTCCATGAGCTTTCTCGCGGGGTCCTTGGAGCCTGCATGGCCAGAGACACAATGGTGGACAATCCCCTGCAGCAGCAGGAGGAGGAGGAGAAAGAGAAGCAGCAGGGAAGGAGGTGGAGGGCGAGGAGGAGGCGCAAGACGAGGAGGGATAGGGGGATGGGGGAGCCCATCTTCGAATGGGTTTTAGCAGTCTGTGGAGAGCCTCTGAGCCCGCTACCCTATCCCTCCTCCTATTTGGGGTGGGGTAGGCGAAGCAAGAATGCAACCTTGCAGTATTCATGTGTTCGTCTGTTGACACACCCCGCAACGGGAGTTCGGCGATGCGAGGCCAACGTGTGAACTGGACATTCTTGATGTGCCCGTCCTTCGGCCCACGAGTCTTCCCCCTCATCCACGACGCTCTGGGGGCGAGACGCTCATGCAAATGTATTGATGTGACCGTCCTTCGTGCCACTATCCTATCCCTCCTTCGCGGGAGCTGGGGGCAAGGCAAGCATTCAACCTTACATTCTGAATGTGTGGAGTATTCGACCTACTACCCAATCCCTCCTCCTTATGGTTCGGGATATTGGGGTCGCGGCAAGACTGCAACTTTGCATTCTGGATGCGCCCAAAATTCGATCAACTACCGTAGCCATCCTCCGGCGAGTTTGAGGGTCGATGTAAAAAGGCAAACCTGATTCATGAACTTGTCTGTCCTTCGATTCGATCCCCCACCCCATCCCTCCTTTACAAGGTCTGAAGGGCTGACGAAATGGTGTAAGCTTACATGCGTAAGATGCGCGCTGTTCGACCCAAGACCCTATCCCTCCTTGACAGGGCTTGGGCGCCGAAACAAAAATGTAAACGTGTATTCTTGGTTTGTCCGCCCTTCGACCCGCTACCTTGTCCCCCCCCAGCGGGGGTTGGGGGGTGAACTATGCCTTGCAGGAAGCCTGTCGCGGCCTACGACGCCCTGTCAAGGCCTCCGAGGGCCTTCGCGAGTACTGCCCAGAGCCTCCAAAGGACCTCCGAAGCTTCTCAAGACCTCCCATGTCCTTGCAGGACTTCGCTGGGAATCCCAGAGCCCCCTCTCCAAGGCAGACGAGACGAAGGATGGTGCAGGGGGGAGACAGGAAGAGGGAACCCTCCTCCCTCCCTCCCTCCCGCCCTTCCTTCTCCCCGATGCATCCCCATCCCCTCCCATCCTATCCCACATCCCCGCTCCCCTGTTCGCGAGCGGGGTGGGGGATGAAGGATGGAATAATTCAAGAATATGTCTTGACGTACAATTTGTGAACGTCCTCCCATCGTCCAGAATGAACAACCAACCGTCCCAAGGTTCCCTAAGGCTCTACTGTCACCCCCCGGGGCCTCCGGAAAGAAAACATTCCCACGGGGACACCTCCTAGCAAACTGCCGTACTTTCCGTCATAGCTCGTGTGCCAGGCTTCACCGTGTGCAGAGAGAAAGGGAGGGATGGGGATGGGAGCTCTGACAAATACAAGCAAAGTAAAACACGCATACACGCACGCAGACGCATCGCAGACGAAGCCTCGCTTGACTCTGCCCAAGCACTCGCGCCGCTTCTGGGACGCATGCGTGGTGTCGAACTGCCGGGGCCATGGCCGGGCCCCGGGGCCGTGGGGACACGGCTCGGGGCGAAGGGCCGGTCCCCGGCAAAGGGGTCCAGACGGGCCGCGCCCGCGTCGTCGCGTCCAGAGAGGCGCGACAGTCTGCAGCAGGAGAAGAAGGCAGCCCGCAGTGGCCGAGCTTCGGACGGTGGGGGGGTGGGAGGCGAGCTTCGGACGGGGGGGAGGCGACACCAGCAGCGATGCGAGCCTCGGTCTGCCGCCGCAAGGCGATGCTGCACCCAGGTGGCCTTGGGGGGGGGGGGGCGGGGCGGTGCGGGGCGGGCTCCTCCCTCGGGCGCGCACCCACGGGCCCACCGCTGATGCGCACCGCTCCGTCGCGAGGGCATGCTATGAGCCTGCGTGCCCTATGTCTTACAGGATCGCTCATGTACGCACCGTTCGCGTGAGGCGGGGAGGAGGAGTCGGATGAATGAGGAGAAGGAGGAAGAGGAGGAGCATGAAGATGAGGAAGGCGAAGTGACATGGAGAGAGCGCACGATTCCGATGTGCGCCCTATCAGGGCAACCAGACCTTCCTCATTTACGCTCGAATGCCTAAAAGGAGAGCTCCTCAACACGCTTTAGTCTGGGAGGCGAATCGGCTAGAGTCGTCCGCAACGCGGAACGCGGCTGATGAGGCTCAAAGAGATGGAGGAAGGAGGAGGGATAGGAGGAGGGAGGAGAAGGGCCCCGAAATGTTCGAGCCCTCCCATTTCAACAACTCTTTCCATCATCATCATGATCATCATCATCATCATCATCAGCAGCAGCAGCAGCATCATCATCATCATCATCATTATCATCATCATCATCATCATCATCATCATCATCATCATCATCATCATCACCACCACCACCACCACCACCACCACCACCACCATCATCATCATCATCATCATCATCATCATCATCATCATCATCATCAACATCCGCATCCTCTCCCTCCTCCCGAACGTCCCCCCTCCTCTTTCACTACGTCATGCCTCCCGACAAAGTCCTTAACCTTGTCGTGGCTGGCTCGGTGCCAAGCATCAGGCCTGCGAGACAACCGTGGGTACTACCCGCGAGAAGGGGTGGGGGGACACGGACTGTCAAGTTGTGTTACTCTCCTCGGGCCTCGTAGAAAGCCCTTGTCGCAAAAGCTAGATCCAACAAATCCTGCTAAGAACCCGCCCTGGAAGAGGTCGAATGACAGATTCAGGGACTGACGGCTGCTACGCCCGCGTTGACCTCTCGTGTGTCGTGCGCTCGTCACTTCCCCTGGCTTATGCTGGCCTTCTGGCTTATGCCAGCCTCCGCCCAGGGCGAGATGCCAGCTTCTCGATTCTTTCAAGTCGAGGTCCTTCTGGGAATGCCATGCGCATGAGAACTGGACCAGGGTCGGGGGAAGAAGCTTCACGAGAGGCACCGTTCTTGCAGGCTCAAGGAGGCCTATTTTTCAGGAAGGGCACTCGCTCCCTTTAGAGATGGCCACTGTCTTCTCAGAAGAAGACCCCCACATACAGGTAATGGTGCCACTGTTGGGAATGGCGACGGCCGCCCGTGCTCGTGTGAAAGCCAGGTTCAAGATAGAATCGAAATTCCAGGACACGGATGTGTCGTGTGAGGGTTGCATTGGCCTTCCTGTTGCCTCACTGTGTCGTCAGATCGATGTGCATTTGACGCCGTTCGCGAAGCCATGGACGTTCATTGTCGCAGGAGGGGCTGGCCTCATGCCAGAACCGCCGACAGCATGTTCGGAACGTCCGCTGGACGATCGTGTGATCTCTGGACGGATTTCTCCTCAGCATGGCTAGCTACTGCTGGGAGGCAACAGCGCGCTCATGCACATGTACATGCGAGATGCGAGCTCGAAGACGTCACTCATTTGCGACCTCTTCCCTGCGCTGGGGTTGTGTTCGATGCTTAGAGCCTCTTGCTCATCGCCCTCTACCTCAGCGCGCTCTGTGTCGGAGCCCTTTCCACTCATTCCCTCTTAATCGATGTTCTCTTCATTATAGTTTTGTTTCTCCTCGATGCCAATGGGGTGCGGGAGGGGTACTGGTTAGAGAGAAACGGACCGACCAAAGGTTGAATATGATCCGTTCGTGCGACGCTGTACCTTCTGTCCCTCATCACGGCCAAAGTCGGGCAGTCTTGTGGGTGCCCTATGCGTACATGCACCCTGTACTTCTTGCCTACAGCTTTGCAAGGTCCTTGCTCTGAGGATAGAGAACAAGAACCAGGGTCGTGTGAAAGGGGGGGGGGTCTGGACACACACACACACACACACTGCGGTCATACTTTGGCACCCAGGTGGTGAGAGGACTGCGCCACTAACTCTGCAAACTACGACACCAACGCAAGCTGCAGGACTGGCGGTAAAAGTGTGGCTGACCCTCAAAACAATCGCCCCCCCCGACTTCTTCCTCCCCTCCCCTGTGGGGGCCCAAGACGGTGCGGCGACAGACCGTGCGGTGACTTCGAAATCCTTAGGTCCGTCACCACACGTTCTTGGGACCTCGGAGGCCCCAGGTGCTAGCGACGTCCTCGGAGAACAACCCAAGTCCCAAAACCGAGCGGCGACCACGAATCCTTACTGACTCAGTACGCAGTGTGGCCACCGCCAAATTTGGAGGGCCCCCCCCTTCAGCACGCACCCTCTCCCGAATAGCTCGGCGGTCTGCGGTGAAAAGACCGACCCGTAAAGCCATGTGGCCGAGTAACTGACTGACTGGCTGGCGTGGCGACTGCTGCGGAGGCACTCCTTCTGCATCTCCTAGGTCACCTAACTTTGCGGCTCGCGCCCAGCGATGCGCCACACGCGATCATCTTCGCGCCCTCGCCAGGCCACCTTCGAAAGTGCAGCTCTGCAGCCGAGGCCGCGACACGCGACGCGCGATTATATTCGCGCCACTTGGGGTGACTTAGACCTCTGGGGACGGCCGCCAAATCCACACGGGCTGCACACGTCCCCTCCCTTGCCCTCGGCCTGACCAGTGCCAACCTTCCAATCTGCAAGTCCGTCCTGTCCCTCTAGCCCAGAAGGGTCGGCCGGCCTAGCGGGGTGCCCAGCCCAGACTCCACCTGGCTGCCCGCCATACGGTCGGCCACGGGCTCGCCGCCAATAGCCCACCGTGCTGGCGGTGTCAACTGTGATGGCGGCGTCAACCGTGCCGGTGGCGACAAGGCACCAGGACGGAACACTCGACCTCCAGCGGGCGGGCTCGGCTCGCTCGCGGTCTTTCCTGCCGTGACTGCTGACGCTCACTTGGAACGCACAGATGCCAAATCCATGATGTTTCTCTGTCGAACACTGCGTTCGCCTCATACTGCTTAGCATTGATGGTCTTTGTCTTCCTTTGCATGGAAATGCCTCGCTTAGTTTGCAGACAATCTGCGAACCCCTTGGCTTTCCTCTCTCTCTCTCACGGCGTTCCTCTACAAGCCACCGCAATGGAGAGTCTGCGCACGAACCAATATACAAGAACAAACCACAGAAACGCCAAAGCTACGTTACGATTAGCGACCCGGAAGAAGACAGAACAGGCACCCGCCAAACGGACTGGAAGAACTGCATTCTGAAGACACCTGGTAGTCTCGAAACTGGGCACAGATTGCCTGTGATCCGAGCCAGTCTGGAGCTGCATGCTTTGGCTACGTCCATCTCTCAACGATACGGGATACTCCTTTGCATGTCCTAGGCCAACAAAGAAGGGCTGGTAGTGGACTTGTGCTGCGAGAAACAGCCTCCCCCAGAGGGAAAACGAGAACGGTGAACGGACGCCAAACAGTCCCCTAAAATGTGAACTTGCGAGGCACCATTACGCTTCATCGAGGAATCTGCAGAACTACTGCGCAGCACCGCCGCTTACGCCCGCTTCACGAGGCTGTTCAGGCTGGTCGAATACAAAGCTCGACGAGGTCGGAAGTGGTGGACCCAAAACTCAGGACGGCAAGCGGCCCAGGGCTCGGAGGGCACCTTGAGCTCATCCACCACGGAGAAGATACATAGGAGGCAACTGCTTCACCATCCAAGACCCGAGGGGCGCCGAGGCTCCCTGTATGCACACGCGCCCCTGGGCTCCAGACACCGCGGACCCCGAGCGCGGGCCTTCGAGGCTGGCCTGCTGCTGCCGCAATCGGTCCGTCTGCGCGACCGCGGCCTCGTGGGCCCGCTCCAGGTCGGCCACCTGGCCGCCCCCCCAAGCGCGCGCTGCTAGCTCCGCTTTCCTCCCAGATCTCCGACGTTGTGTCATCGTCACAGCGAGGACCCCTGGAAATGTGGACTGATTCCCCAGGACTGGCTTTACATTGACATGCCGAATCCCTTTTTGACGGCCCCGGGGCCGAGTGAGGACCTCCGAAAAGCAGAAAACTGCCAGAAACCGTTTGCCATGATGATTTTTGCACGACGAGAGGAGGTGGAGGCTGGTCCCATCACGCTTGGCCCCATGGCGGTTCCAGCTAATTGTCTTTGTGCTCCAAATCGCTGGGACCGCGGCTGCTGTGCTGCCAGCCGGGGCCCTGCCCAGGCAGGCCCCAGACCGTTCACGAGTAAGCTACAGCGCAGTGCTCGCACGTGGTCCCAGAGCCAACATCAGCCTGCCTGATGCAGTCGACACACACGATACAAATTCTTGCCGAAGATATTTTGAGGCACATCGATCGTCGATATTTGAATGTCCTGAGGTGCCTCAGAGATGATGCGGGTCCCTGGGGCCAACGGAGGATAAGAAATTTCATTGGGGCACCATCTGGCAAGCCACTTAATAATTTGACGTACCTACACTATCTTGGAATATCACCCTCTACGCAGATTCTCCGAATTTGCCGTATCTTGCCGTCGCCAACCGCTACTGGCCAGTGCATTGAGTTGCAGATCGTAACGGGGGGGCCGAGCAGTCCTAAACTGTCCCTGGGTGCGTGGCTGGAGTGCGACTCCGCAGTGCGGAGTCATGTTCTTGCCAACCTCTTCCCGCAGCACACCTGCGTCCCACCCCGCGACCTACTCACGACACACCGGCGAACCACCCACCGACCCGCCAAAGCTCCATCCGCGAACCACCCACATCGGTTTGAAAAAACGGCGCCTGCGCGGGACTCAGACAAAAACCAGCGCCTGCGGCGGTTCTCTTCAAATCTGCCTCCGAGCCTTGCAGACTGCCGACGACCTCCGCCCCGTCCTTTTGATCGGCAACGGCGGGGGTTACCGAGTCGCCGCCACAAGCCGACAGTGGACGCTTCTCTGTGGTGTGACGACTGCCACTTGCCGGCGCCAGCTGCTGCTCTGGCAAGCTCTCGGCGGGAGACGGACCTCCGCGGTGATCTGCTGTTCTCGGTGGGAAGACGCAAAATGGGGGACGGGGGGGTGGATAGGAGAGGAGGGGGATGAGGCCAAGCAGTGGAGCGTTATGACATGGGACGAGGAGCACGCGCTAAGGGTCCCAAAAGGTGCGGTGACAGACCGTGCGGTGACCTCGAAATCACCGAGACCTCACTGCACGGTCAGTCACCTCACGGTTTAGGACCCTGGAGGCTCAGGTCGCCCGAGACGTTGGAGAGCAAGCAAAGTCCCCAAACCGGCGGTCGTCCCGAGTCGCCACTGACTCACCAAACGGTGTAGTCACCGCACCGTTTTGGGGACTCCCGAAGCAAAGAGAATGGGGTGGAAAAGAGCCCGGGTGAAGAAGGGAAGAGAGGAAGACGACGGGGGAGGAACTGACGACGAGAGCGGGAGACGAACGACAAGAAAGGGGAATGGGGAGGGGGCGAACGACGACGAGACAAACAACAGAGGACAGGAGAAGAAATCTGCGGAGAAAGGAAAGTTGCGCATCCCCTGCGGGGACGCCTGGAATGGTCAACCCCCACGCCGCTGGAATCGCTCAGAGGTGCGCGATGGTTTTTTGGGTCGCCGCTGGACTCCCCCGTGTGGCGGCGCCTCCGACCACCCTATCTCCCCTTCCTGGGCCTGGGCGTTTCGCGTTTAGCTCTCGCTCAGCGTGTCTCGGGGGCGGCCTCAGCGACCAGCTATGCCCTGCAAGCGGATAGCTTTTCGCCCCGCTTCGGGGGGCGGGCAGTCCAGAACAGTTCGAAACGGTGACGGGCGGTGGCTGGGGACGTGGTTAGTTTGTCCCACCGAGGCGTGATCGGCCAGAGCTGGCGGCGCGACACGCTAAGCCAAAGTTCCCGACCGTATGTTCACGAGTCGTCCCACATCCCAAGTGATGTTGGTGTGTCCTCTGGACACCCCGCACAGTGCTCACCTCCTCACCTCACCCCCACCTCATCACCTTCGTCCATTCTCAATCCTGCCAATCGACTATCATCATCACCACTATCATCATCCTCACCATCATCATCACAAGCATTCGTATTGTCATCATCACCACCACCACCATCATCGTCATCACCATCAGCATCATCAGCAGCAGCAACATCAGCAGCATCAGCAGCGGCATCATCATCATCAGCATCATCATCGTCAGCATCATCATAATCAGCAGCATCAGCATCGGCATCATCATCATCATCATCATCATCAGTAACAACAGCATCATCATCATCATCATCATACTCATCACTAGCAGCATCAACAACATTAACAACCTCATCGTCATCATCATTATCGTCATCACCATCGCCATCATCAGCATCACCATCTTCATCAGCACCATCATGGTGATAATCATTATCATCATTCTCGTTATCTGCACCAGCTTCATCATCATCGTTATCATCATCATTATCAGCATCACCACCAACATCATCATCATCGTCATCAGTACCATCATCATCATTATCAGCATCGTCATCGTCGTCGTCATCTTCATCGTCACCGTCATTGTCATCAGCATTACCATTCCCCCTCACGCACATGCACACTTCCACGCCATCATCACCGTCACGCACACACACGATCCAACTTCCACACACACACACATAATTCGCACCCTGTCACCCACATATTCACGCAATCGTATTGAGGAAGGCTCGGGCGGGAGCCTCGTCAGCCAGTGAATAACGAGGAAGTCTCGAGCGGGAGCCCCCCTCCCTATGAGGCCCACGCCTCATGTTTTTAATCCGAGGCGGTCATCGGCACACTGTAGCAGGCATAACGCTTGAGCACCCCAAGGGCACAAATCGCGGGGATGTCTCGAGCGCGGGCCTCGTCAGCCAATGAACAGTGAGGAAGTCTCGAGCGGGAGACCCCACCCGATGGGATTCCCGTTTGACATCTTTAATCCGAGGAAGTCATCGGCGTACTATCAACGATGCAGTACCTCTCCACGACGAGGTTGATGGGAGGGCCCCCGCCGCAGCGGAGCACGGCGAAAGCATCGCGGACGTGACTACGAACGAAGACCAGCACGACCCGTCCAAGGTGGCCGACCTCGTCGGCTCCGAGGCGACAGTGCTGGACCAGTCGATCATCACAGACATCGACAACCCAGATACTGCTTATTCTTCAGACCCGTTCTTGGCGGGAGGACGCGGGGGGATGTACTCGCAACGACGCCGGGGGAACGATCATGCTACAGTGCTGACCCAACTGGCTCTTCTGGAAGAGCGACTGCGGGACTTGACGGGCCAAGTTCGCGGGGGGCAGTCACACATCCAAGGGGGGAGCCGCACAGCGGACACCATACAGTTTTACAGAGAAGACCAACAGGCGCAGGGATCCTAAACTGCTGGCACGGATCAAACGTCTCATTCGCCAGGCGGATGAGCAATATCAACCTCCAAACCACAAGGAGGTGGTCGCGACACCCACCCACCTGCTCGAGGACTCCCTGGGCAAGAAGATTACCGACAAAAGTGCTGCGACGAAGGGTACGGGGAACAGTACATCGACGTCGCCTAATACTACATGCAAGCTGCTCCAGCATCCGCGGGGGTCCTCTGCGGCGTGGCAGGCAGCTCACATCAAAGACATGGAGTACGATCCACAGGCACCTCCTGTGATCGGGTTCAAGGGGAAGAAGGAGCACGATCATGCTGTGGGCTGGCATGGGGCGAGGGGTCTCATCAATCCAACGGCGACGCACGTGCTCTTCGATGAAGCTACCAAGTACGAGGGCTGGGACCACATCGATGCCGCTGTCGAGGCCAAGGGTGGAGGGGCCACTCCTGTCCCAGCCCAGAGCCTACGCACGGGCCAGAAGGCCCCAGAAGACTGGACTTCCCAAGGGGGTGACGGACGACGTCGAGATTCCCGTCTCCACGGGCAAGCCTATTGCGGTGCGTATCACAGTTGCTCGGGACTCTGCGCCTGATTGGTCATGCGCAGAAGCAGACGAGAATCCAATTGCGCTGCCAGCACTCATCCTGGGTGCTAGCCTTACCAAGCAGGTCCTCAAGACTAAGGGGGCCATGGCCTACGAGACGGAGGTGGCCGCTATACTCATCGTGCAGGCGGCTCATACTGATGACATCATGAAGTATCCACTCCCAGACGGAGTCTTTCTCAACCGACAGGGGACATCCCTGGTTCCACCATGGCACAAGCTGAGGGATGACGAGCAGGCCATAGACTACTTCAAGCGCGTCCAGGCCGCCGCCCAGGAACATCTGGACGACTGGTGCACCGACCCTCGGAGAACAGCTCTCTCGGAGTCATCCCAGCCAATGTTGTAAGCGCTGATATCCAATCAAGATGGCTCCTTCAACGTACACCCACACAATGGTCCCAGGAGGACGACGTCAAAGCATGGGCTCTGGGTGGAGGATCCAAAAATGTCAGCAATATCGAACGTTGTGGTACGAGACGCTGGTTTATCCGTGCTGATCTGGGCCAATTGGAAAGCAGCAGAGTTCTCGAGTTCAAATCAGGGGTGATGGCAAGCTTGGCGGCTCCACGAAGAAGGGGTTCCAAGCCACCGCCGACGAAGTCACCGAGGACGGCGCGGGGCACGCCGAGCCCGACCCGACGCCAGCCAGAGGCTCCCACAGCCACACCTCAGGTGGCAAAGGCGGATGCAGACGGATACGCCACAGACGAACGCGGAGAACAACGGTGACGGCGAGCCAAGGTCCAAGGAGCCGAAGCAGACCACGCCAATCAGAGCACCATGGGAAGCATATTTCAAGCAGCGGGATTGTGGAGGCACAGATGATTGCTTCTATGTTTCGGCGGGCTTCTATTTCAATTATCTTCAGCCCTCTGGAGGCAAATCTGGCAAGAAGCTCC